TACTATATTTTTATTTGCACAGTGGCGGGCATATTATGTATGTATTTATGTATATTATATATATATATATATATATATATATTTTATGTATCGAGTATACGCATTTCATCGACACGGTCTTTTAAAGTACAATAATAATTCTCAAGGACTTGTGCAGCATCTTCTTTCCCTCTTTTTTTACTACATCACGTATTGATGAACAAATTGACTTCGAAGTAACTCGATAATGTATTCGCTCATTTCTCAGCATTCGGCAAAGAACACACTAAATATAATGTCATCAAAGTCTTGACGAATTTGAGAATTATATTAATTATTACAGTATAAATGTTACAATATGATATGTATATTGTTTAATCCGCCCGGTTCATCGTCCATAATAATTGTTGCACACATTTATTATAACTTTTTTAAATTGTTCTTAATACGGGAGAAGTTTATTAGGATGTGTTAATTTCAAATTCAGCTGTACACTTAAATACCATAATATCAGTGAAAGCTGTATGATAAAATGACTATTAGATAGCTATATAATGTGCACAATAATTATCGTTAAAATTACATCTACAAAATTGATGAACCATTTAAATTAACAATCGGGATTAACTAGGTATGACGAATGACGATTGATTAGATATATTATTCAATAATAATTTGACTACGGGACTACCTCCGTTACATGGCCAGCTGAGCTGTTATGTTACGACCACAATTTATACTACCGACATTAGCGTTAAAAACTAATAAAAACTGATATTTTATGTTATTTTAATCTGTTGCAAGTTATTATTATTAATTATACAATTAATGTAGATGATTAATTTTATTTTACACAATATGATTATTATTATGATTTATTATTTGTGTTAATTGACCAATAGTTACATAAGAATAATGTTTGTAGTTCACTTTATGATGTAATTGAATTAATTCACAAAATTTAATTAATCTTTCAGGGACCAAATATCTTTAAATTGTATACCACCAATACAAAACCGCGGGCACCAAATCGTGGATATTTGATAAGGGTTTAATAATGTAGGCAATAAATGACAACAAATTAATTTCAATAATTTCCATTTGTTAATCTCGTGTTAATTTGTATTAGCTTTATACTATATAAATTGTTATAACCGTAAAAGGTAAGGTATCCTGCAGCCCACGCCGATCGCTGTTTTTTTTTTATTATTATTTTATCTTAGAGTTTGTATTTCTTGGTAATTATTCATAAAAATCTGAGGTCAATGCCCTCTACAAAAGCCTCTAAACAAAAAAAAAATACGTTATCAAAATCCGATCACTCTGCGAATGTTTGTCTTTAACGTTTTTTTAAAATAACTAGTTAGTTAGGATAAAAATCAAGGCCCTACCTGGTCTCGGGACGCAACTAGTGTGCTTTGAAACATACTTTGCTGTAAGCGTGCAGCGCTTTTTGAAAAAAATGTACAAGACAGATATTTGTACGGCTACGATTTTTTAAAATAAATATAACAATTTTCCCGATGAGCGACGATTTATCGTTTTTATTATTATACAATAAGCAATAACATAATGTTATGTGCTTGACTTACTCGTATCACACATGTCTGGCTACAAAACGTACAATATGAACCCGGCGGGCTACCGGAACTTTGTATCGAAAATACCATAAAGCACACATACCTGTATTATTATTTTGCCGTTTACGCTCGGTTTGTTATTGCAACACAAGAACACATCCTGACAAAACCTATCCCATTACAACAACAACAACATATAACAACGCATACACACACTTTAGTTGTGGTCGGTGACAGTGTGTTAAGTGTAAACGTCGCACTTTGTAATTTGATTATTGCCACATGACATCAAAGATCGACGACGGACGACGCCTAAGTCGGAGAGGTATAAATCATTATTGACAACCAGTGACGTGTGTGCGCCATTGAACGGCGTTTAGATGAGGAATTTGATGCAATTTTAATGCGAATCCGTAATGGTGTCCGTTTGGGGCTTTTATAGGTTTTACTGAGTTAAGTACGCGTTTATATGAATAATTTACAATTCACATCATATTTGGATGTTGGCAGCCTAAGCTATACTAACTTCACGAGTCCACTTTATCAATTTTGTCGTTATCGACAAACTTATGGTCGGTCCTAATAGCTAAAAACAATATCAGAAATTACTGTTTACAACAGCGAGGGGGCACGGTCATGGCAATATTGTTTAATTGTCAATTTTTAAAAAAAAAAAAGCATACCTGGATAAAAAAAACAACATGTTAATAATAATTTGATACCGTTTTCTTCCATCGTAATAATATAAAGAGGTCATGTTAACAGTATTTTTCCACAGGTAGGAGATATGTGCTTTATTTAGGTTTTTGTCTTTCCCGAAAAATATCAACAGTGGATTGGTCCCCTTTGTGCAGTAGCCATTCATATGACCGCGGGTCGGAAATTGAAACGCGCAAACGAATCCTCCGGAATGGAATAATATGATCATAATATTATTGTGAATAATCGTAATTCGGATTAATAATTATAATAAATAAACTCGAACCCGATTCCAATTACAGAAAGACAATAAATCCCTTTTCGGTTGTCGGCCGTGTAATTCGCTGGTATTGACAGTCAACATAAACTCAATTTAAATTCGAAATGAACCATTTTAATAACTTTCTACATTACACTGGTCCAAACGCTACGCTCTGACGTCCGCACAATATTATATTTTATAAATTCGTTGAAAACCCCAAGTACGGGTATGAAAAAAAAAACAACGTACAATTATTATATACTATTTGAGGTCGTTTCCGAGTTATACCTGAGAATGCATAGAGGTTGTTTTACTGTAATTGATCAATTAGGTCAAATACGAATATTAAACTATATTAAACTGTGGTAATTCACAGCCGGCAACCTCCCTCCATTGGATGGCTACTATATATCAGCTAATGGTAGCAGCCGACATTGGTCATGTACAAATTGACATTTAAATGTTATGCATTTGGAGTTTACAATTAATGATGTCCGAATAAGACGCGATGTCCTATAAATAACCAATGGCCGGACACGCTTACGCGTTGAACAGCGACTACTTAATTGGTCTAATTTACAATTCGCATTTTACAGGATGGATATATATAAATACATGTTTTTTTTACTGGGTCGATTCGTTAACGGTAATTTAAACTGCACCAATAGGTGTGCGTTTCTTAATGACTGTTAGAAAATGTGTATTAGAATTATTAGACCACTGTGGCAATATTTAAAGAGAGACTAGTTTAGGAAAGTTTCTCGAAGCCATTAAACCGAAAGACGCGTTTATTGATTCTTACTTTTTTTTTTCTTTTCACTCCAACTTCTTAGTTTTGTTTTGTTTTTTTTTAAATCCGAGCATTTTAATTGTTTGCCCCGCATTGCGTTAAACGGCTGAGAAAACGTTTATTTTACATAATGACAAATTAACACAGCGGTGGTTACTTTTTATTTGTTTAACTTGTTTTGTTTTTAACTAACTGGAGTTTTACCGGTAAAGACCTGATACGTATTTTATATTTATATTAATCGAGGAGAACTATGTGAATTTAAATTATTTTATTATTTTGTGATCATTGTTTATATACTGGAGTGAGGTATATATAAAAGGATGCAAAGATTGTATTTTGTAATATATACTTGCAAGATGGAGGTGGAACTTTCAGAAATTGGTTCAATTTGGAACGTATGAAGTTGAAAGGTTTAATTTATGACTTATTTTTCAGGGTGAAAGTATTTGATACTAAACTTTATCGACAGTTTATTGTGACGTCCAAAAAAGTTATAGATGTAGATTTTTTAAATTTTCAAGTCAGTTTATTACAGTTTCCCAAAATCCTCTGTTGAAAAGGCAAAAGCTAAAATCTTTATTATTGTGTAATTAGTGTATTTTTAAATGTTTAGATTTTTTATGCTTATCCACCATTGAGAAATCAATTAAGTTCTTAATAATTATTCCATACTTAAATTGTACTATTCAATTGAAACGTGATTAAGGCGAACACGGATAAATTGCACCACTGAGTAAATAAATCGAAATAACACGAGGTTTTACTGTCATAGAGGATTTGATGATAGTTTCAATAGAATCCAACTAAACACAGTTAGCCATTTATCATTCGACAATAGGTATTAGGCGACATACAAAGTCCTAGAATTCTATACGTTATACACTAACAAGGGATTTGCGGGTTCACACTAATTTTCCATTTCATTTATTAATCCATAGTATTTCACATTTAAATGTAATCAGGATTTAGTATAGCAGTAAGTTAATATGAAAAACATTACCGTCAAACCAACTAGGCAATCTAATATTATTCGATCATACATGATCTAAAACATAATTTATTTTTGTGAATTTAAGAGAACTAATGATCGACCTACAGGTTTTCCGATCGGGAACTCCTTTTCGAGGAGCACAGCCGATTACTTTTTTAAATTAATTTTTGCGATGAGAAAATCCTGTACCTAGGAACAAGTGAACAACGGTAACAATTATTGTAAATTGAAATACCTAAACGAGTCCCACGGGAAAACCCTATAGGATTTTTAACGTTATTAGCAGAGGATGGCATTAAGTCAAATATTATGAAGTAAGCGAAAAGGCGAGCTCAGCAGTGTGACCAGAATGACGAAATTTCATTTTTAATTTGTTTCGTGAATTCCTCTCCCTCTTACACGAGAACAAAAATAATCACATTAAGCGCTATTCTACTAATAAATGTATTTATTTAAACAATCTATTGACATAAATAAAAAATAATAATGGCGTATATTGAAAAAAACAATTTTCATAAACGCACTACTACCCTTCTTACCCTGTGCCCAGCGGTCACACTGTCGCTCACCTTCTTGATTACCTACTTCGTTGGACATTATACATACAATGTTACAGCTGTATATATGTTTGTTCTATGCGGTTATTAGAGACAGATCAAGACGTATTGCTAGACAGTATTATATTTAATGGATTACCTGATAGGCCGGCTTGTTGTAGCCGTACGGTCTTGTCTTGGGGTCCATGTCGAGAAATATGCACGCGGTATGCTCGATGCTGGAGAACACATAGGTGACTTCACCGTGCCTCTCCAGCACGGGCAACGCTAGCAAGACGATCAACACCCACGTGACCATGATGGCGGACGACGCGTTTCTTTCGGTGCGCACGTATATGGACGCTATGGGATGGACCACGGCCAAGAACCGGTCCAGCGACATGAGCACCAGGGTGTAGACGCTGGCGTAGGCGGTCACCACGATCAGGTATTGGACCATTTTGCACCAGACGTCGCCGAACGGCCAGTACGGCAGCATGTAGTCGACCGCGGTGAAAGGCACGCAGAACACGATGAACAACAGGTCGGCCAGCGCCAGGTTTATGATCAACAAGTTGGTCGTGCTCCGCATCTGTTGGTTGGCCATCACCACGATGACCACCAGTAAGTTGCCCAGAAGTCCGACCACGACGATGATGCCGAACAGTATGGGCACGGCCAACGAAACGATTTGTTCCACCTATAAAAAACAAAAAAATACAATTGTAAAAAAACCCAAGTCGTTCCAAGTGTGTTTTCGTGGAGATAATCTCCTCTTATCTTCTAATTTCCAGCTCGGACATGCCTCGCTTTCCCGTTTGTTATAAATTCATTTTTCTGTTTCTTTTTATGTAGTAAAACATATGGCCTTCGTCGGAAAAAAAATGAAAATGTCTTGAAATCAAAACGGTTAAGAAAAAAAAAACAAAGTCTTTATGATGAAACAAACATCCACGTGAGAAACTTTTTTTTTTTATGTCCTCAGAGTAGAATTAAAATCAACTAATGTCGATACGTATGATTTTTTTATTGGGTAAATAGAAAAGTGAATGTCAGAATTAATAAAAAGAAAAAAACGCATTACGTTATTTTGTGTTAAAAATGTATTGTTTGTGGCATAGCAAAATAGTTTTACCGTTAACTAAAAAAAAAAAGGACTGTCATACTGGTTTTGTGATATTTTGAGGCAATTTGTAACATCATCATCAATAATAATATAAAGTATAAACTAAACAAATAATAAAAACTGTAACAGCAAATAAAAAACCTAGTTTAAATTTCAATAAGATCTTCAATAATTATTCTCCAACAACCAACGACTTTAGGTCGTCAAAATATTTTAAACTGCTGTGTATTATGCTAGCATCGTCATTAGTCAAAGTCAATTAATTCGAGTACTTGATGTATATTTTAATTAGCTTAATTGTATCAACTGCTTTGTTAATAGATTGTGAGAAACACGCACTTTCATTTATCTAATGACAATATAACGCTTTTATTAATTAACATATTGCATCCCGCCCTATGCGTGATATGAGCTCGTACACATCATAACGTGTGCTCGGTGTGTATAAATTATACGATGAGACTCTAAAAATGTACCTAATAACTTATCGTCATTAAAGATATATAATTATTTGAATGCCGTCGAGTTGACCCTGCTAAATAATTATTGCTAACGAATTGTTACTGGCGCGGTGGATTTGGTCTACCGCAGCATGTAATGAGGTCGACTTAGTATTAGAGCTAACATACACGAAGGTCTACTTGGAGTACTTCTTATGTCGGTTAATCGTCAATCAGCTTCGGGTATGGACGAATAAACCGGCTTACCACCTATCCGCAAAGTCTTTGAGCTGTTTTATTAATTGAGCGCTCATAAACCCCTATTAAAATATTGTAAATTCAAATCACTATGAACCTTCTCGCTGATTACAGGAAACTACAGGTATTTAACTTTTGGTTGTCCGTATTTAGCGCCAAGGAGAGTTTTCAGACAAAATACATCTTCGTCATATCTACTCTCATGTCCAGACTTAAATTCAAAATCAACGTCGTACAAAGCGAAATACACACAAATGCCACGGAAAATAGTCATACTAACAGTATAGTAATGAATCCAAATAATATATAAAAAAAACATTTTAGTAATTTTTAAGTATTTAGAAAAATATTTAGTCATCACAATAAAGTATTTAAAAACGATTTGGTAGTCTTGTAATTTTATTACTTTTGATTTTGATTTTTTCTTAATTTGTAACTAAATACATTTTGGTTGAGTAATTGGCCCACTCCAGCTGGTACACTTTTGACTTGACTCTCATGAGTTATTATAGTTGGCGACGAATATCAGTCAGTCTACATTCTTAGTTTCCGAGAAAAATGTGTGTCTTACATCAGATTGATCACCCTGTATGTAAAAAACACAGGTTCCGTCTTGCCTCGAATAGAATATATACATTTTACATTTAAGACAGAAGATATACACTGTTGATATTAGTGGGGACATTTTTTTACGAATTCAATTGGAAAGAATTGGCGCTGTAAGGTTCGAACAGAAATTTTAGTTTTGGTGATTTTGTTGTTTGCATTTTTTAGTATAAAATAATATCTGGTATTTTGAAGTTATTTTGAAGAAAAAAAATATTTCCAAATCGATATAGGAATAGTTGCACACAAATGTGCAAAATGAAACACCCCAGAGCTCTATTTAAGTGCATACTGCATAACATGCATATTTTATGCTCTGCATTTAGCGGTTGGCGCTTTGATTTGTGTTCTCATAAAACGGTATATTAGCATTACTTCCGAGTTTATAGAACGATAATGCGCCAATTCAGTTTACCGTTGCAAATTTAATCCATTAGTCATACAACTACTTCTTATGAATATTTCAACGGTTGCGACAATGCACCGCACCACGCGCAAGCGTTAAAATACCATTTTCGTTTCGGACTAATTTTAAGGTTGATGCTGAAGATAATTTTCGAACCGAAGACAATATTATAGTATTATCCTGACTCGGCTATATACAAATTGCTCGTTTATAAACATTGTACCGCTAAATCGTTTCCGTGTAAAACAATTGTTTACACTAGTAATAAGTAAATGTACATATTGTATATTATTACGTCAATTATGAGTTAGAAAAATTATTTCAATTTGTCTACTGCCGTTTGTTGTGTCTTGCGTTTAATACCCGTATTGCATGCAGCCAACACCGGAAATAAAAAAAAAAAATGGAAAAAGCCCTTGTGGGCCTAATAGGCTGGATATAGTAGTGCATCAATCACTGACGGAGTAGCAGCATAAAAAAATAGAAATGCTTTTTCCTCTCAATCTTATATACCTTGTCCCCTTTCGCCGGACATTATTATTGCCATCATTACCGGCGGTGCCCACCGAGGGATAAGAGGCGCGCAGTTCAATTTGTTGCGGGATTTTTGGTCAATTCAACAACGGTAACCACCGCGTAGACGATAAATTCCTTATCTGGCCGACCGGAGGCGTTTAAGTGGCGTCGATTTATCACCTAACTCGCGACCTAACTTTTATCCGGCGAAAAAGTAATAATAAGCATATCCGCGCGCACCACCGTCGAAATCTCGTTGCCTACTTCCAGGTGAATAATGGCCGTAGGCAACATTTGCAATGTATTGGACTTTTATATATATATATATATATATATATGTATATTATATTTTACAATAAAAACGTACCGATATAATATAATTTGTAAATATAAAATGTGATATACAGAAATTGTCTCGCGTCTTATATAAATAAAATCCTAATGCATAATGAATATAATTAACAGGGAGGGCACAGACGCTAACGGATGTCGATCCGTTATTATGCCAAAGTTGTGTTTACGAGAGAGAGAGTCGAAGAAACACTTTCGAAAACTCCAATCAGCAGTAAAAATACTGTAGCGCCGAAACCGGCAATTGACAGTATTGACAACCGAACAATCGGCTAAGCGGTGAACTTGGAAAATGGGAAATATTTTGTTGAACCACGCAGACTTATTTCGAAAAAGTTTTGAAATGTACATAAACGTTTGCCGTTCTTTTGTTTAACCTAACCTAACCTAACCTATATAGGCGTCCGCACATTAAACGAAAAACGTTGAACGGGGTAATACAGTGTTCAGGATTCAGTCACGTACCGGCAATGGGGGGTCATAACCGACGGGGAAAAGTTGACAAAAATAATATAACTGTTGGATTTTTTCTCCTTTCTCAAATATTTGAGTTCCTCCAAAATAAATATAGGTTACTGGTGTGAGATTTTTTTTCTTTAACTTCGACAAAAAATAATTTTATCATATAAAAAAAATAAAAATTACAAGATGACATGGAAAATCTTAAATTCACAAAATTCGAATGACTCACCTATTTGTCAAAAAAAAATTTGCAGATACTACTACATGGGGAAATTTTATAATTGTTGACGTTATTATTTTATGAAAAAATTTAGTACATTTCAAATGTACGGCGTAGGGAAAAACACCAATTTTTAGCAACAAAAATTATTTACCTCGGCGAGTATACGTCATTGCTTCGTTTGTTGTAAGTGAGTATATGTTCAGAGTTCAACCGTTAAAATTAGTTTTATTATATTATTCTTGTTATTGATTCGTTATGGTCGCCTTTTTTTTTTTTGTTTTTTTTTGCGGATATAAAAAACAAATTTTGACCGAATAACACGTGCGAGTAATGAGCACTTTGACATTAGTTGTTGTGAAACTTTTCGATTCATCAAATATCCATTGTGCGCTGTGTGTAGGACAGGCTGCTGTGTCAATCAGGTTGCCTACCCACTCGTACTCCTTCCTCCCGGATTGTTCATACTTTGTTATTTTTATAAAACCGTATTCATATAAATGCATAATATATGATACATTCGTTGAAATGTTACACCACTGTTTTTATTATGATTAACTCGGAGAGACTGGAGAAAGAAACGAATTCCCATCGTGACATTCGTTTTTCTTCAAAGTATCTCTGTGTTCGTCACACTTAACTCAATTATCTGGAGCCGCCCACACCTTAGTGTTGAGCTTTCGCCGCCGAGTTTTCATATTGTTTTCAATTACCTCGGCTAGTTGCGCGACCGTGGTTTTTTATTTTTATTTTTTTCTAAAGCGGGGGAAGATTTCGTTCACCTTTTCTTTTTATACAATACCAAATCAAGGGAAAGCGCGCCCCAAGTCTACGCCCCCTCCCCCCCCAACGTGCAAGCGCCCTTTAAACATGCTGAACGCGCATTTTGTGTCTCGCGCGAAAATGGCCAAAGTCATCATTTGCGGTTTGAAATCGTTTTAAGTACAAATAGACCATTACTCCATATTTATAAAGTGTAAATAAATGTACAATTATGTTTAGTTGGAAATAACTTAAATAATAATAATCGATAATTACACCACAAAGATAGCAATGTACACAGTTTTATTAAAATCACATATTTTACGATTTTTGAAATACCCGTGTGATAGTTAATAAACCCGAAACCGCATATTTATTTAATATAAATTTTTATAAGATTTATATTATAAAAAAGGCGGAAATCGGTACGCTTCAAAGCTTTAAGCAATTGTTTACATTGCTTTGTATGGTCTGTTCTCCAGTCTTATGTCCATCGTCATTACCACACGGCAATCTGTTTATTCTTATTATTTTCTCCCCACCCGACGTGCTC